GCAGGGTGCGGAGAGAGAGAGGGAGAGAGAGAGAGAGACAGAGTTCAGAGTTCGGGGGTAGAGTTCAGTAGAGAAACAGCTCTGGGGAAAAAGCTGTTCCTCAGTCTGCTGGTTCTGGTCCGGAGGCTTCTGAAGCGCCTGCCGGAGGGCAGGAGGGTAAACAGTCTGTGGGCAGGGTGGGAGGAGTCTTTAAGGATGCCGTGAGCTCGCCGCAGACAGCGTTTTCTTTGGACATCCTCAATGGCAGGAAGTGGACACCTTGTGATGCGCTGGGCGGTTTTTACCACCCGCTGTAGCGCCTTACGGTCTGCGACAGAGCAGTTTCCGTACCAGACTGTGACACTGCTGGTCAGGATGCTCTCGATCACACAGCGGTAGAAGTTCATCAGTACTGAAGACAGGTGGTGTCTCTTCAGTGTCCTCAGGAAAAAGAGGCGTTGATGAGCCTTCTTAACCAGACTGGAGGTGTTAGTGGACCAGGAGAGGTCCTCTGTGATGTGGGTCCCCAGGAACTTGAAGCTGGAGACACGTTCAACAGCCATCCCGTTGATGTGAATGGGTTGTGCGTGCTTCCTCTTTCTCTCCTGAAGTCCACGATGATCTCCTTCGTCTTGCTGGTGTTGAGGAGCAGGTTGTTGTCAGCACACCAGGCGGCCAGATGCTGTACCTCCTCCCTGTAGGCCGTGTCATCGTTGTTGCTGATGAGGCCAATCACCGCCGTATCGTCCGCAAACTTGATGATGGTGTTGGATCCATGTACAGGTCTGCAGTCGTGGGTGAAGAGGGAGTAGAGGAATGGGCTCAGCACACAGCCCTGTGGTACGCCTGTGTTGAGTGTGATGGTGGTGGAGCAGGTGTGTCCTGACCTAACATACTGGGGTCTGTTGGTCAGAAAGTCCATTATCCAGTGACGGAGGGAGTGTTGAAGCCCAGGTCTCCGAGTTTAGTGTTTAACTTGGAGGGGATGACAGAGTTGAATGCTGAGCTAAAATCAACAAACAGCATTCGTGCGTATGTGTTGTTATTGTCCAGATGAGTGAGCACAGAGTGCAGCGCAGTGGAGACTGCATCCTCTGTACTCCTATTGCTGCGGTAGGCAAACTGGAATGGGTCCAGTGTGGGTGGGAGGCAGTTTTTCAGGTGTGCTAGGACCAGTCGCTCAAAGCACTTCATTATGATGGGTGTGAGTGCCACAGGGCGGTAGTCGTTCAGGCCTGTCGGGCTGGAGTGTTTCGGCACTGGACAATGGAGGTGGCTTTGAAGCATGCTGGCACAGCTGCTTGGGCGAGGGACAGGTTGAAGATGTCCGTAAAAACCCCAGTGAGCTGCTCCGCACATGCCCTAAGCACGCGCCCGGGGTGCCGTCTGGACCAGCAGCCTTTCGAGCGTTGATCCGGCTCAGTGCAGCGTGGACGTCTGTGGAGGTGAGTGAGAGGGGCTGGTTGTCTGCAGGAGGTCTGTTCGTGGTCTGTGTCTCTCTGTTGTCTCTATCGAAACGAGCATAAAAGTGATTTAGCTCGTTCAGGAAGGAGACATCTGTGGTTATCGGGTGGAGTTTCTGGGTTTATAGTCACTGATGGCCTGGATGCCCTGCCACATGCGTCTGGGGTCGGAGTTGGAGAAGTGTTCCTCAACCTTCAGCTTGTAGCAGTGCTTGGCCTTGATGATGCCCCTCCTCAGGTTTGCCCTGGATACGCTGTAGGCCATTGCATCATCTGATCTGAAGGCGGTGTTGCGGGCCTTCAGCAGGAGACGCACCTCCTTGTTCATCCATGGCTTCTGATTTGGGTACGTGGTGATCTGCTTCCATGTTGTAACACTGTCGATGGTGGTGTTGATATAATCCAGCACAGAAGAAGTGTAGGTGTCAATGTCTGTGTGAGAGCCCAGGTAGCCTGAGAAGCAAACATACTCCAGTCTGTGTGATGGAACTTGTCCTGAAGTACAGAGTCTGTCCCCGCTGGCCACACTTTAATCGTTGTCACTGATGGCTTCACACGTTGGATGAGTGGGGAGTACTTGGGGATGAGGAACAAAGAAAGGTGGTCTGACTGTCCCAGGTGGGGGAGGGGGTCGTGGTGTAGGCTCCTGCGATGTTTGTGTAAACATGGTCCAGAGTTTTGTTTCCTCTTGTATTGCAGGAAACATGCTGGTGAAATTTAGGGAGCACTGTCTTTAAGTTTGAGTGATTAAAATCACCTGCAACTATAAATGCAGCCTCCGGGTGAGCAGTCTGTTGTTTACTGATAGCGGTGTAAAGTTCCTTCATAGCAGCTTTAGCATCGGCATCAGGGGGGATGTAGGCTGCAGTTACAATGGTGGAGCTGAGCTCCCTTGGCTGATAGAAAGGTCTACATTTAACCATGAGAAACTCTATGTTAGCTGAGCAGTGTCTCCCAGTAATGACAGAGTCTGTACACCAAGCTTTGTTAATATAAATGCACAGCCCTCCTCCTCTGGTCTTACCGGAGTCCTCTGCTATTCTGTCTGCTCGGTGTGTGTGGCGACCGGCTAGCTTGATAGCATCGTCCGGTACTCCGTTGTTTAGCCATGTTTCCGTGAAGATCATGACATTACAGTCCATAATTCTCTTGCTGTGGATGATGCGAAGTCGTAACTCGTCCATTTTGTTCACCAAAGACCGCACATTAGCGAGGAAAATGCTGGGTAACGGGAGACGGTGCGGTGTTAGCTTTAGCTTAGCCGCGCTTCCCCCGCCTTTGTTTACGGTCTCGACGCCGCCTGCGAGCACTTCCGCAAGGCCGGGTAGAGTGCGTAGCCTCGGGTGTTTTGGCGATCTCAGGGATGAGTCGAAGATTGTTGATTAAATCGTCAGGGAGGTGTATTCCGATATCCAAAAGTTCCTGTCGGGTGTAGGATGTTAAGGCGAGGCTGTTCCGTGCGAACAGACCCGAAATTAACAATAAAATTACTGCAAAATTGCAAATCTGAGAGAGACGCTGGGCCTCGCGATGCGCTCGCGCCGCCATCATGGTCATCAATCAATGTGAAGCTACCAGCAAACTAAAGAGCGCTGCAACGGGAGACATGGAGCAGCAGTAAAAAACGGTGCACTAAAAAAGCAGATATATATTGTTAATTGACATGCAACATTTAAAAGGTTACCAATCCTGCCTTATGCTGTGATAGCCTATTTGGGTTGTACATAAAAGTAAGTTGTATTTAACTTCATCAAAAAAATTCAATATTTGTGTGTTTCTGAGCACAAACAATTACATTTGCACATGCTGTCTGACAGACGGCTGAGGTGCTCGGAGGGGGGTCTAGAATGTTGGTGGTCCTAGTGTTAATGGATCAAGCAAATGTGTAAAACTTAAAGTCTTGTATTTACTTAAAATGCTGCAGTGATGATGTCCTATTTGTGTTTTTGTGCAGAATCTTCAAGGCTCGATTGTAAAGGTGCTCTACAGATTTCTGACAGGTTGTTCTGGGACCAGGCAGCTAAACCAGAAGACAATATGGCACCCTATTATCTCAAAGAAAGATCTGTGGTTTCTGATTGAACATCCCTGAAGTCAACCAGTGGTGTGTAAAAGCATCAACATTTGCATTTTGACAAATACCCCGATGGTTCTTTAGAATCAGAAGAGACCATTTTTGGACCTGGATGTGGATACACAGTCATTTTAACGCACACATGCCCCCTTCTCTGTGAGTGGTTTAACATCCCTTTTGGAGAGTTCTGTGAGTGTGTTGAGTCGTCCGTGTGCGTATGTTTGCAAACCGTGCGTTGCATTCTATATCGTATAGGCTCCACCCTCTAAGGCTATTGCTATTGGATTTATCACTTGCGAACCTGCGCAGCACTAAAAGAGTTGTATGTTGCGGTCCACCCCCATCCACAAGGTGGCCCCTCCCATGGCAACCTTTTTCTGGAGTGAGAGTCACCACCATGGTGGCGGGCAGCGTCCTGCTCCCCCCTCATCCAGGGACCTGCTGACGACCCGTCTGGCAGACCAGTCCCACCAATGTGCCAATCAGGCGTCAGCAGCGACCAACAACCTGTCCAAGCCCATCCACGAGGAGGGCCCCGCCCCAGGTCTCCCCTGAGGTATAAAAGCGACTCAGACTGTGTCATCTGTTCCCTCTTTTCTTCGTGTTTGAACTTGTTTTTATGTGAATGTTTACATTTATATCAGACTCCAAAACAACAGCCAGATTTCTTGCTTGATGTGTGGCTTCTGTGAAATTGATGGTAAATGAGCGCTGACTCATGATCCCTCCTGTTTGGGACGAATACAGTTATTTTTGTTTGAAAAAGGAGAAGGCCAAGAATAGACCCTTGGGGGACCCCACATGTAATCATTTCATGTTCAGAAACATTTTTACAACCTGAAATAAAGTATTTTTCTGCCTTGAAGTAAAGAATACAGCCGTGCAAGTGGAATGACACCACAGTGTTCTGTATTTATGACTTTATAAAATCATAGCAGCTTATATGAGTATTCATAGAGGCCAGTCTGACTTTGGGGCCTTGTAATACCCAGTTATGCCGTTCTTTCAAGCCAAACAGAGTCATAGCAGGTGATGGGTCAACATGAGTCTGGTTCTGATCCAGGCTTCTACCTGTTCAACATGAGTCTGGTTCTGATCCAGGCTTCTGCCTGTTCAACATGAGTCTGGTTCTGATCCAGGTTTCTCTTTGTAAAAAGCATTTTTTTTTATCTTCCCATTGTTACTTTGCTAAATGTTTGTCTGCTGATGGATGAATTTTGTGTTTCTGTAAATATAATAAAGAGTAAAGTGCAGAGCGGCTGTTTTTGTAGAAAACATTTATTATGAATTGGTGCTGAACAAATAAAGATTGATTGACTGAATGATTGATTACCTCCAAATGATAACGAGACATTTGACAGAACCCTGAAAATGTAAAGCAGATTTAGAAACATGTATTTCTTATCCTCCCAACATGTGGTGTGATGTTTCCTCATAAACAAAGCGCTCATGGACTTACAGAAAGAACAACGCAGGAGACCCGGTAAGCCTGAATGTTACAGTCCTTTAATCCAAGGAGGTTTGACAAATACATTTTATTATGAATTATAGAATATCATTTGCATACACATACCAATACAGTCACAACCTGAGTGATAGAATATTCATAGCACCTCCTTAAGTTATCTAAGTGTAGATATTTGGAGGTAATCAGCATTTTCTTAAGCTTTAAACAAACTAAATCAGCTAAATCACATGTAGCCAAACAGACCTTTTCACTCACTAATTCAAACCAAAATCCTTCACAGCAGCACACATCCTTTTCCTCTGCGCTACTTTTGCATCCTTCACTGCACCACGGTTATCTTTCCTCATGGTGAAGACCACAGCAGAGTAAACTTTAGTCTCCTCATCAATCTGGGCAAAGAGAGACATGAGCTGTTAAATGGACAAAAACATAAGGACAACATGAACATCTTTAAATGATTTACCTGTTGATTTTTCACCCTCTCGCTGTTTAATTGCAGGACGACAGCAGCTGGATAATGAAACAGAAAATACATACAGAGTTAAAATGAAAGATGAAGAAGGTTTGATGATTTTTTGCTGCTTAGAGAACAAGTACGTCTAATTACTTGAGCCAACAACCACAGCTGTTAGGAAGATTATAACCCGGCAGAAAAGTGTCTTCCTCCTTCTGAGAACACGTTGTTACATGAAATTGTATAATGCTTTTAGAACGGGTCATCGTCACTAACCTTTAGATTGTTCACTTTCTTCTCTCGGAGTTTGGAAACAGATAAAAACGACATTTCCAATCACAGAAATCACCAAGCAGAATATCGTTATGACCAGCCCGATTGATTCGGAATTTACTGTTCGTGCTAGACAACAAAGGAAATACAAAAGAATGATTTAATCATGAATACATTGTGAACGACAGTGAAGTGCATGGCCCTACACGTGCACGGCGTATTTGGAAAGAGAGTTATAGCAATACTTCAGATTCAACTCCCCACTCTGCCCTAACATGTGTAACTGGGGATAGACTCAGTACTCATCACTGTGACCTGTATGTGAAGGTCAGACGGCCTTCTCTTGAAGAGAGGCGCAACAGACATTGGTTTTAATATATTTTCAAGGACCTTAAATTCCTTAAAAAAGGAGGGTGGGCCACACCCATATATATAGATTTTCACACCAGTAAGCTGACAGGCACTATGATGGCAGGTGTGTTTCAAACATACAAAACGCACACCATCCACTCCACCACCAGCACCCCCACAGCCCGTTATTACGCAGAACAAGTCGAAGTATCTCTGTATGATGCTTTTCTTCTTTGCTGCTTGATGTGGTTGTTGTAATTTCATGAAGATCTTGTATGGAGGGACAGAGATAGCATGCTGGGAAGCTGATGTCATGCTTTTTAATGCTCATTTATTTATCAAAATTATAATATTTGTTGGTTAGGGTTACGGGTTACACTGTTTTACAATCAGTAACTTTTACATATAAACTTGTTTATCAAATTGTACGATTAGAAACTGCCTTATGCACTGCTGCACTTTTACCAATGTACCTTGCATTTGCACTTTGCATTTGTTTTATGTATCATCTTGTTTTATGAATATATGTGATTCTCACTGCAACCTAAGTGTACCAATAAAGTCAGTGAACCTGAACCTAAAGCTCGTCTTAGTTGGACGACTGTCCTCCAAATAAGGCTTATTTCATAGACTAAGGTAAATACAAGTCAGGGCACTGAACTCATCATTTCAAACACAGGAAACATTTACCTTGTTTGGCCGAGTCTGATCTGTTTCCAGAAGTTTTCTCCTCACACGTGTCCACAGCAAAGAAGTAAGTCCCCTCACCAGACAGCTGAAGTTCTGAGTGACACTGCAAATACATTTCTTTATCGAGACTCCAGCCGGGTTCCTTCACTTCCTTTAACACTGTTCTCTGGAGTGAAATTCCATCTTGGATGAGACTGATGTGATCCGGCTCTGAAGCAGCACGCACTGTGTTCTCCTGGACAGTTTGCTTCTTCTCTGAGTCTCCCGGACCGACCGGATCAGTGAGGACGGACTGCAGCGTCTCCAGGTTTGCTGCTGGGAGATTAAAAATCTGATTTTTAAATTTAATTCTGTCAACTCTCAACACAATCTTTTACAAATAGCTAAATTAGTGTAAATTATAATTAGCTCACCTTTAACTGTCAGGTTTGTTCCTGTCAGAAAAGTCAAGTTTCGTTGATTTTTGTTCTCAATAAAAATAAATCCTGTATCCCTCAGCTCTGCTTTTCTCATACGCAGAATAAATTCTCCTCCCTTATCTCGTTTTCCATAGTTGTAATGCGTGAATTCTTCACATCCAAGCTATTTGTTTTCCTAAGTATTCAGGAAAGTTTCCAGAACCGAGGCGGATCCAGAAATAGCTTCCTGTAGAGTCAAGCTTACACTTCATTTCAACCTCGTCTCCGACTGCAGCAGTCTTTCATCAAAGGACGGATGATTCATGCATCCTGAAAAGACATTCTGTCACATAAATATAAGAGATGACAGACTTGTGCATGCTCTCTTCTTCAACGTTAAACTTTAGTTCTTTACATGTGTAGGAATATTTGAGAAGTACACTTACGTCCCGCTCTGAGCATCATCATCACGCAAAGCACAAACAACATTTCTGTTGGGAGTAATGAGTAAAGTAATTATATTACTTTTAAAAGAGTAAATGAGTAATATATTCCTTTTTTCGATAACGAGCCCAACACTGATCGTAAGTTTAGTTTCAACAGCAACATGAGGGTGAAACTTTTTGACTTGTGAAAAATCAGCTACCTGAGAAAAAAATCGTTTGAGCAGATATTTCTATAAACTTATAAAAAAGGAAACAATATTCCAACAAATGATTCTCGTTGAATCTTTTTCTGAAGTATCTCACCTGCTGGCGTCGTCGATCTGCTGCAGGATGTTTTGCAGAACTTCAGCAGCTGTGATATCAATTTTTAAAAAAAAGATGTAAACAATTTATTTAACAAAGTTATAAAGTTAATATTTGCTTAATACTTTTTTTTATTTATTGGAGATAATGTTCTGTTACCTTTGCTGGAAATCAACGATTTAGTCTTGATGATATGAATCAGGAAAGTTATTTAATCAAGCTTAATAGCCAAAGCAGCTGATAACAGAGACAGAGCTATTACGCCATCTGATTGTCGGCTCCTGAAAACATATAAAAACTTATTGTGTTAAGATGTTTCACTAAATATCTTCCAGGTAGATTCAACTGTTTGAAAATGAATGTTAAAAAATGATTCATATTGAATGCGTCAGTTACCTTTGATGTCAATCTTTGTCCCATTTCCAAACAATATCTCTCCACATGCGGCCACAGCACAGAAATAAGTCGAGGCGTCGGAGGAGTTGACGGTCTTTGAGAAGCTGTAGACACATTTCTGTGGAGAGTGAGCCTCTGGACTCTCCTCACATCCTCCAGGTCTGTTTCCATGAGTGTAAATGACACTGGGATGATTTTCATCTGATCCGGCTCTGAACCAGAACACTCTGTGTTTCCCTGGACATGTGTTGTTTTCAGACTCAGAGAGAACAGAACACTGCAGAGTCATCAGGTCTCCTGGGTGGACTGGATCCTGTGAAATGTCTTGAACGACTGAGGTGATACTGGGCTCTGGTCCTGAATAAATTCAACACAAAGTAAATATGCTGGATTTGATAAAAATATTCTCAATTTGGAACGTTTGCTTTTAGTAAAAATGATTTTTATTTACCTTTAATCTGCAGAAATGTTCCTTTTAAAACTGTCATATTAATCCTCTCTTGTTTCACACAAAAGTAAAGTCCAGTGTCGCCGACTTTTGCTTTATCGATAATCATGACAAACGTTCCAGGTTTTTGTTTTGCTGTGATTCGAGGAGTTTTGTGAACGTCGTCATATTCAAAGCTAAATGTTCCTCCCAAAACCTCAGGCAAATCTCCAGAAACGAGCCGGAGCCAGAATAATTGTGTTGAATACCAAGAAGCATCACGAGGACACGTCAGAGTCACATCATCTCCAACACCAACAGTCTTTGTCTCAAAGTTCTCATAGATGGTGCATCCTGAAGAAAATAATATATGTCAGTGTTTAACAACAGAGAAAGATCATGTATGCTCTGTGCTAAAAATAAAACATATTAATCCTTAAAAGATCAGAATTAGACGAGAAGATTGGACATAAACTTACGAGCAAGTGTGAGCGTCAGTAGAAAAACAAGAACAGACTTCATTTTCTCCTTCGTCCACTTAATACAGCAGTAGAATGAACTCGTATGAGAAGCTGCTTCTCCTTCATAGAACCATATAAAGTAGGAGGGAACAATCACAGGGCAATCTGATTGGCCCTTCATTGAGGGTATTACTTTACAACCACAGTGGAATTTTTTTGACCGTCTTTCAAGCTAAAGCACATGAAACAATAGAAGCAGCAAGCTTCTGTTTCAAGTTTTCATGGTGGGTTTCTGTACCTGCTGCTGAGTGGAAACACACTAACTACAGTTTTCTTCATTTTTTTCCACTCTGTATAAAAGAAGTGTATGAACACTGAAGCCAACCAGTGAGCACCAATGTTGGCATTTTTGCAAATACTACAATGGTTCTTTGGAACCAGAAGTGACCATATCTGGACCTGGATGTGGATACACATTAGTCCCTTACACACAGACACGCCCACTTCTGTGTTTGTGGTTTATTGTCCCTTTTGGAGTATTCTGTGAGGGTGTGTGGTCTTTGATGTGTGTGTGTTTTGTGTGTATGTGTAAAGATGGCGGCCTGCTCAGACTCTGCGGCCTGGAGCTCTCCCATTAGATACCACCTGGATTTCCCAACAAAAGGAAATAAATCCTTGACCATGTTTACTGCAACATTAGCAGGGGTTTACAAAGCGTCCCCCTCCCCCACATTGGCCGGTCTGACCACATCAGCCTGCTTGTGACCCCCATATACAGACCTCTCATCGTAAGGATTAAACATCACGCTTTGTACCATCGGGGTCTGGCCTGAGGGAGCAATGCCCAGGCTACAGGACTGCTTCAATGAGACAGACTGGTACATCTTCAAACAAACTGCCACCAACAACAACCACACAGACTTAAACACCTTTGCCTTACCTCTGCTGCACTCAGCACCTTCTGCATGGGCAATATAACCACAGAGATGAACATACATGCACTCCCCAACCACAAACTGTGGATGAATGCAGCTATGGTTAACCTGTTGAAGGCTTGTGAAACTGCTTTCCGCACAGGTGGCCTACAGTACAGCCGGGTCCAGACTGAGGAAAGGCATCAGACAAGCGAAGCGCTGCTACAAAATGCGTATAGAGGAGCTCTGACTCCTGACGCATGTGGCATGGCATCAAGACCATAACAGGCTATGCAGGCAACAACAGCAGCCCAACACACACTGCCAACTCATCTCTCCCTGAGGACCTGAACCACGTCTTTGCCAGGTTTGATTGTAGAGACAATCTCAACA